CCGCCTCCTCAACAACCTCCAGCACCACATCCACCGCCTGGAGCAATGCCTCGCAGGCAGCGCCACGCTCGACCAAGCCCAAGGGCCCCGCGACCTGCCGCTCACCATCAGCAAACACTTCAGCGACATCCAACACTTCCTCCGCACCCACAACCACAGCGCCTGCGCCTGGGACCGCGTCCGCCTCCAGGCTCGCGCCTGGTTCCAGCGCCTCCACAACCTCACCCGCACCATGCCCAATTAGCCCAACCGCCCCCGACAGCCCCCACGCACCCCCAACACCGCTTCGGCACCACCGCCCCAGACCCACCTCTGCCCGCCCGCCTCCCCTCACCCACGGCAAGACCCGCTGCGACAACGGCCCGCAGCCCGCACCCTCCCACGCCGCCTCCTCTGCTCACAACGCTTCTGCTCTTTGGCCCGACAACGGACCCCACCTATTTATTCCCCTATTTATTACACACCAAATAAACACCTCTTGCAAAAACCGCCACGCGGCCTCTCGTCTCACCAGCACGGCAGCCAGCTCCTGGGCTGCCCGGGGGGCACCCTCCTGCGAGCCCGGCTCCAAACGCGGCTCCGCAGACCCCGCGCCCGCTCTTCTCTCGCCCACCTCCCCGCGCAGGCGCTGCCCTCAACCTCCCGGGAAAACCTCTGCCGCCCTTTAGACAGCGCCAGCGGAACCACCGCTTCGGCCCTGCTCTCCTCAGCATCTCCCACCTTCCGCCATCTCCATCCCACCCACCGTCAATTCCACCGTCCCTGCTGCTGTCGTGCGGGGACACCGCTCGGCAGCCAACCACCCCAATGCCGCTCGCCCACCCTCGCCCCCCACCTGCCAACGGGGGAGGGAACCGCAGGGGCAAAGGGACGCTCGCACATCGACACAGAAGCCGGTTCACAACGGTCATAAAACGAAAACAACGGCAGCAACAGAAAATAGAAACGGGCAACGCGCAGCGCAATCGCCCACCGCCCGCTGACCAATCCCCAGCCCGTTCCCGGACAGCCACCCCCAAACACCAAGGTCCCGCAATCGCAATCCCGGGAGCGAGAGAGAGAGCCCCCCCCTTCCCCACCACCCCTCCTTTCCACACTGAGCGTGACGTTACGTGACGTGGAGTATTTCACTGGCCGGTTTGTGGCCGGGGCTCTGGCCGTGCTCCCTCCCTGCTTCTTGTGCACTCGCGCACGGGCAGGACACCGCGACTCGGAGACTCCCTCAAATCTCAGCAGCAGCTGAAAACAGCAGCGTGCTAGCAGCACTCTTCCCACGCCAAACCCCGTGCTCAATCCAAAGCACGGCAATCTTCTGGTTGCCAAAAGGAACGTGAACTCTATTCCAGCCCAAGCCAGGACAGCTGGGCTCCGCGGTGCGAGGAGGACACGGGCCTCCCGCAGCTGCTCCCCAGCAGGGCCGCAAGCGGGATCAGAGCGTTGCAACGCCTCCGCCAGAGGCACGGGCCGAGAGACTCGCGCTTCTTCGGCCCGGAGAAGAGAAGGCTCCGCAGAGACCTTCCTGCCGCCTGCCCAGGCTCCAAGGGGGCTTGCAAGGAAGGCGGGCGCACGCTTTGCCGCAGGGCCTGTCCCCACCGCACAAGGCCTGATGGCTTCCCACCAACAGAGGCCAGGCTCACGCCGGGCACCGGGAAGACATCGCTTCCCACCAGCGTGCTCCAACGCTGCCGCACCTTGCCCAGAGAGCTGGCACACGCCCCAGCCCCGCAGACACGTCCAGCCTCAGCTGGGACGGGGCCCTCAGAGACCCCAGCTGCTCCACGAGGGGGCCCTGCTCCTGCCGGGGGGGGCTGCACCACCACAGCACCTTCCAAGCTCCCTCCCAGCCCAAACCACCCCAGCAGCCTACGAAGGACACGCTCGGCACACATCGCTGCCGCCACCCGCACTTCGGCTCCTCCGCCCGCCTCAGGCATTTCGCACGACCACCCTCTCGCCGCGCTGCTCCAAGACACCTCGCAGCACCAACTCTTCTAGTGCAACACGCACAAGCTCTGGCCCTGCCCCTCCCGCCTCAGCCCACCGCCGGCACTGACGGCCCCTGGCTACGCCAAATCCCCACGCACGGGCCCGCACCCCAAGCACAGCACCTCCGGCACTTACCTTACTAAGACTGCCTGACTCCTAGAATATTCTTTTCATTTTAGGTTAGAACACCATTTTGGGTTTAAAACGGAGTCACAGCACCTAGGAGAACGTAAAGCACACCAAGGCCCTTACGAAGAGCTAGCTAGTATGGCGTGTGCCTTCAACACTCTACGAACCTTTAGGGACTCGGAATTAAAACAACGGGCACTGCTTACGGCTCTCGAGTCAAAACGAGCAGTACCAGAACATACTGGATTTCGTTTGGAAGATCAGCCAAAGAAGAAAGGAGCATCGGCCAAAGACAAAATTAGCATGCAGAGGGATGGAGCTCAATCAGCGCCCACCGTGAGGAAGGAAGAGCATCGACGACCACCAGAGGACCCCCGTCCAACATAACCATGCAGGCGATACAGACATTTCAATATGATAATGATTTCCAGGAAACACCATGAATATGCTCATCATTACCCTCCCCTCATTCTATCCACATCAATCCGTACAGACAACCAGTGATTTCTGTAGAACAGGAACACAGGTAAGGTGAGGTAACTGAGAGCCAATCGTTATCATGACTGAGGGCAAACGAAACTTTACGAGGTTTGTTCATCTTATGGAACCATGACTCTGCTGAAAAAGAGCAGCAATATGTTGCGCTCTGTACCTGCCGGTGAACACGACTTTGGTGGAGCTATCCCCCGTGTTCCCCAGCGCTGGGATAAAGAAGTGCCGGCTTATCTGCTTTGTGTAGATAAGGTCTATTCGCCATTGGGACCGCTAACACACCCACCAACACAACGGGGCCCGACGAGAGCACGGCTCCCAGCCCGACACCGCCCTCCCACCACCACACGCCCTTCCCCGGCTCCCAAAGCCCGCAGGAACCTCGGCGACGCCTCACTCCCGCCAGCACTGCTGGAAGGCACCCGAAAACATCGGTGTCTTGGGTTTGAGCGAGTCCTGGGGGTTTCTGGTAAGAGGGGAGGGGGATATAGGGCAGGGGGCTATAGGGGAGGCCCCTGGGAGAAGCTTCTCGAAGCTCCCCCGCCTCCAAGGCAGCTCCACCTCTGCACCAAAACTGAGCCAGTCAGCTGCGCCTCTGCGGTAACGTATTGAAGAAGGGATGTGGTGAAGGGGGAGTCGGACTCGCGAGGAGGAGTTGCGGCAGCTGCGTGAACACCAAGGTCAGCGGAGGAACGCAGCAAGAAAGGAGGGGGCAGATGGCCGGAGCAGAGACCCCCCTGCATCCCGTGGTCCGACGGCAGGGCGGTCCCCCCTGCCACCCAGGAAGATCTACGGTGGAGCAGGCACTGATGGATGGCCTGTGTTTGTTGCCTGGGTGATCAAGGTGCTGTGCCTGAAGGAGCCTGGGGTCTTGTGGGAAAAGGGAGACCCGCTGTTGTAGTTCAGCGCTGGGAGGACTCCAGCGTGCGGGAGTGTCCCACGCCGGAACAGCTCGGGAAGGGCCGTAGCCCGTGGGAGGGACTCCAGTTGGAGAAAGTTGGTGACCAACACCGGAGCCATGTAGGGAAATGTTGCGGCCTCTCGGAGGGACTCACGTCAAAGCATGTTTGTGGAGGACTGTCTCATGTGAGAGGGGGACCACGACGGAGCAGGGGGAACGAGTTCCCGAAGTTCCTCCCACCGAAGACGGACAAAGTGGCAGCGCTGACTGCACCCCCCATTCCCTGCCCCTCTGCTGTTGGGGGACGACGGAGACATATCGGGAGCAGAGCTGAGCCCAGGAAGAAGGGAGGCTTGGGGGGAAGGCGTTCTCAAGGTGTGGCAGTGCTTCTCACTGCCCTACTCTGTTAACGGTTGTTAGTGTCTCTAATAAATGGATGGGTTTTTTCCCTTCCCCTAACGAGTCTGTCTTTTGCTCGTGACCACAGTGGGTGATCTAGCCCCTCCCGGTCCTATCTCCAACCCCAAGCCTGGCTCATCTGTCCCTTCTCATTGCCAGAATGAAGGGCAGAGAGTGGCTGAGGAGTGTTAGGCTGCCGATGAGGCTCAAACTACGACGCTCAGACATGGCAACCTCCCGTTCCTCCTCCTCCTGCCTAGGGGGCTCTACTACCCCCCCCGTCTCACGGCCAACCCATCCTTCCTTGCTTCTCCACCCCACTCAGCAGGCAAGGAGGCAGACAAAACACAAGGAGGCCCCGGCTCCGGGGCCACGCGCACGGCACCGCAGCTGGGGACCCCGCGCCCCAGCAGCACCACCAGCAGCCAAACTTCTTCTGCTCCCTTCCTCCCCATTCCCTCCCTCCCGCCTGTCCTCCCCGCTCCCATCCGCTTCCAACACAGGAGCCGGGGCAGCTCCAGCCACCAGCACACCCAGGACTCACGTGCCCACCCCCACAGCCACAGCCACCCCCAGGCCCTCGCTGCTGCACCGGGGGCTCCCCACGCTCGCCCCACTGACATCACTTCGCCACCCTGCCCAACGCCAAAAGGAAAGACCAGCTACGACGACAACCCAGGCCAGCCACAAGCCAAAGGAAAACACACCCCAGCCAACGCCAGGGCAGCGCAGCCCCGAAACACACGCGGGCAGGAAGGGAAACTTCAGCTGCACCAGCCAGCCACCACAGCTCGCCCTGCCTGCCGCCCACAGGGAAACCCTCACACACCTCCCGCCGAGGGCTCTGTCCCGCCGCTTTCGCATCTCCCGCTCCAACAACGCACTTCCCCAAGAGCACCGCAGCCAACAGCCAAAACCGAAAACCACAGCCGGAAACTCGCTGCCACCACAAAGCCCGGAAGGCAAAGCCGCCCGCGGCACCACATAAAGCCGCCCGGCCGGCAGCACCCCAAGCACAGCGCCCACCCGCACCGCCACCACGCCGCACCCGCCTCCTGCCCAGCACCCCCCACGCGGCACCCACAGCCCCACCATGCCTGCGCCCGCAGCCCCACAGCCCCGCCTGCGCCCCGCCGCCCCGGCGCTCCTGCTCCTCCTGCCGCCTCTCGCCACCGCCCTCGCCTGCCACCACCTGCGGCCCCGCCACGCCACCTTCCCCTGGGACAGCCTCCAGCTCCTCCAGGCCGTGGCTCCCAGCCCGCCACAGCCCTGCCACCACCCGCACCCGCCCGCCTTCCCCGACACCCTCCTCCACACCCACCGCCCACAGCAAGCCGCCCACACCGCCCTACGCATCCTCCAGCACCTCTTCCACACCCTCAGCAGCCCCAGCACCCCCCAACACTGGGACCACGACGCACGCCACCGCCTCCTCAACAACCTCCAGCACCACATCCACCTCCTGGAGCAATGCGTGACAGCCAACAGGATGGACTTCCAAAGGCAAGGGCCCCGCAACCTGCCGCTCACCATCAACAAACACTTCAGCGACATCCAACACTTCCTCCGCACCCACAACCACAGCGCCTGCGCCTGGGACCGCGTCCGCCTCCAGGCTCGCGCCTGGTTCCTACAGGTGGGCACACTGATCCGGCAAATGACGAGCCAAGACGCTCCTGCCCCCCACCCAGCCCACCTGCACCAGAGGTCCAGCCCCACCCAGCGCTGGCAGCCGCGTATCGAGCAGAGGCGGCAGCAGCCCGGGCTGGGATTGCTCAGCACTGCTCACACCTCTGCCAGCCAGCAGCCCGCACCGACGGGGAAACGGGCATGACCGCGGCAAGGGCCCGCACCCCTGCATCAGGGCCACAGCCTCGCTGCAAAGGGAGGACGAGGAAACTGCGCTGCTGCATGCTTACCGACAGCTGCGAGGCTCTGGGGAGAGGGCTGGTATTTCTTACCCACCGTGTGAGCTAGCCCGTCCAGCCTGTGACCTCCCCCGCTGGAGGGGAAGGCCCCCATGGACACTGCGGGACTCTTACGCCAATGACCACTGATCACAAAACTCTATCTATTTGTTTGCTTGTGCGTTAATTTATTTATTTATTTAGCCAGCCATTAATTTAAAAATTTGCATCTTTATTTATTCATTCACTCGTTGGAAATAAAGACTTTTAAAAAAAGCAAAAACGAAGGAAAAAGAAAAGAGGTGTTCATCACGCGTGTACCTGACAGGCAAACCCAGGCTCTGTCTCTGCAGGCAGGCAGGGGTGAGCCTCCCTCCTGCAGCCCGTTCCACCAGTGCCCCACGTCCCAGTCGAAGGCTCCGGACAGCGGGTCCCTCTGGGCACCCACAATGGTCCTTCAAGCCCACGGGCATCTCCTGCTGATGCCAGACCTCCAGGGCACACGTGCCCAGAGGACACGATGCCTGCCCCGCGCACTTCTCTCCCACCACCCACTCTCCCCCTTCCCAACCCCCTCCCACTGACAAGACATCAAAGCCACCTCCAAACCACCACCTCCTCACAAACCAGCACTCAGCAATGCCGCAGCACCGCCTGGGACCACGCAGGGTGGCGTAAACAAGGTGCATGCAACTCAAAGGGGCAAGGAGCGGACGCACCAAGGCATGCAGAGATTTGGACAGGCAACACCAGTCCAGGGCTACCCACCCCACCCAAGAAACACCAGAAAGCCTCTGAAAACACAGCACATGCCCAAGACTGCTCCTTGCTCGCCTACAGCCACCACAACTGGCCCAGGATGCTCCTGCCTGTGCTCACACACCAGTGGCCATGGGGACCTCCCTTGCTACACAGAGCTCATTCACTCAGCCCTTTTTCACCCCAACACATCCTTAGCAAATGAAAAGATACATCCCCCAAACACCACCATCCAACACGCTCCCAACCAACCAGCACAGACCACACCAGCACAGCCCTCTCCTTACAGGAAACTGCCCTCACACCACCAGCATCAGCTACTGCTTTCCCCTCCAACCACCACCCCAAAAATACCCGCCCCGGGTCCTCTGTGCTCCCCAGCTAAGTCTGAGCAGGACAACATAAAAGTTCAGCAGATCCGACCTGCTCCTGCATGGGACAAAGAGCTTGTTCTCCATGCTCAGCCACACCCCCTCCACCACCACCTCACTGCAAGGACACTGCTCCGTGCAAACACAAACGGGCACTACGCGTGCCCTGGAGAGCGAGGAAACAAGGGGGACCCAACATAGGCAGGTCCATAACAGGAACCCTCCAAACGCAACTTCCACCTTCCACTGCAGTCCTCCTGTCCTGGGTTCAGTGAGTGCTGGAGTTTTTTGGTGGCAGGGGAGGGGGCTATCGGGGCGTCCCCCTGTGAGAAGCTTCTCGAAGCTCCCCCAGCTCCACGTCAGCTCCACTTCTGTTTGGGAAATTAAGCCAATTGGCTGCGCCTCTGCGATAACGTATTTAAGAAGGGACGTGGTGACGGGCAGTGGGACTTGTGAGGAGGAGTTGCTGCAGCTGCGTGAACACCAAGGTCAGTGGAGGAACGGAGGAAGGAAGGAGGGGGGAGGTGTGCCGGAGCAGAGACCCCCCTGTATCCTGTGGGGTGATGGCAGGGCAGCCCCCCCTGCCACCCAGGAAGAACTACGGTGGAGCAGACACTGATTTATGGCTTGTTGCTCCTGCTCGCATGATCAACGTTCAGTGCCCAAAGAAGGCCGGGGTCTCATGGGAAAAGGCAGCCCCGCTGCTGTAATTCAGTGCTGGGAGGATTGCAGCATGCGGGGGTGTCCCACGCCAGAGCAGCTCGGGAAGGGCTGCAGCCGTGGGAGGGAATCCAGTCGGAGGAAGTTAGTGACCCATGACGGAGCAGTGTGGGGAACGCTGCGGCCCGTGGGAGGAATTCAAGTCGGAGAAAGTTTGTGGAGGACTGTCTCCTGTGAGAGGGGGACCATGACGGATCAGGGGGAACAAGTTTTGGACACTCCCATCACTGAAGATGAAGGAAGTGGCAGTACTGACTGCACCCCCCATTCCCTGCCCCTGCGCCACTGGGGGAGGAGGTAGAGATATCGGGAGCAGAGCTGAGCCCGGGAAGAACGGAGGGGTGGGGGGAAGGTGTTTTCAAGCTGTGGCAATGCTTCTCACTGCCTTACTCTGTTATGTGTTGTTACTGTCTGTAATAAATGTATGGGGTTTTTTTCTTCCCCTAACGAGTCTGCCTTTTGCTCGTGATCATAAAAAAGGGATATTCCCCCGTCCCAGTCCTATCTTGAACCCCAAGCCTGGCTCTCTGTCCCTTCTCATTGCTGGAGGGGAAGGGAGACAGAGCTGCTGCGTTGTGGATGGCTGCCAATCAGGCCTAAACCACGACACCTCCTCACGTTCCTTCCAAACAGAAATACCCTGTGACACCAGGCAGGGGAGCCTCATTTGCTCTCTGTCTTCTCTGAGGTGGCTGAAGAGGCAAACCCACCTCAGGCAGAAAACCGGAGGAGGACAGGGAACGACACAAGCCGCAACACAGGCAATTCACACCAGGAAGACTAAACACACTATGACTGACTCTACCAGGAAGGCGACAGATACAACACCACAAGAGGCAGCGGGGAGGTTGCGAGATGTCCGTTCCGGAAGGTATATCCAAAGGCATCACTGGACAAGGCTCTCAGCAGCCTCCTGACACCACGGACCCTCAGTACCAGCTAGCACTTGGGACGTCCAGAGCAAAACTCGTCTTGGGAAAAGAACTTTAGAAATGGAAAGAACTGTTGTACAAAGAGCGAAGACTAAAAAAGAAAAAAAAAGAGAGGAACTGAAAAGTTCCAGTAGTATGGGAGCGTAACGGAAGACATAAGCATTTTATCAGGCAAACACTGGACATTTGAAAAAGAGAACTGATTCGAGAGGGTATTTTCTTCTCCGTGGCACAATGAGAGTGTAGTCACAACAAACTGCTCGACTAGCAAAAATGCCAAATACATTCAGATCTGAAAAGAAGTTTTGGCTGCACCTCCTTCATTGTTAAACAAACATCAGCTTAGAAAAGACTTCTTAACCCCCATCACAATGAGGATCAAACCGAAGAAAAGGTAGCAAAGAGACTGTAGCATCCTCATAAGGAAAAATTCAACGTTCAAATACTGACAACCACAGAAACCTCCTCAAGGGCCACCTGCACTTAGAAAGCTTCGGAGATTCCAAAGAATACATCATTTAACAAATGTCCAAAAATCTAAACAGAAAGGATTTATTCATAAAAAGCAAAGCGAAAAACGTACCCAACGTAAAAAACGCAAACCCAAGGCTGGAGAATTAGATAAGGAAAAGAGATTTCGTCAGAAAGGGAAATTCAGCGAAACAGTCCTAACCGCTAGCCAAGCAGAGAAAGGAAAAACCACACCAAAACCACACAGCAACAACGTAACTGTGCCACCCGTCGTGTGCCAGAGATTCCGCATCCCCTAAAGAAGCAGTGCAAACGATGAACCCCCAAACTAAAATCCCCCCAGAACAGCCACAGCAAAACATCGCCAACACACTCGCCACACAGGGGCACCCCACCAACGCACTTCCCCAAGACCACCGCAGCCAACAGCCAAAACCGAAAACCACAGCCGGAAACTCGCTGCCACCACAAAGCCCGGAAGGCAAAGCCGCCCGCGGCACCACATAAAGATAATGATTTCCAGGAAACACCATGAATATGCTCATCATTACCCTCCCCTCATTCTATCCACATCAATCCGTAAAGACCACCAATGATTTCTGTAGAACAGGAACACAGGTAAGGTGAGGTATTAGAGCCAATCCTTATCATTCCTGAAGGCAAACGAAACGTTACGAGGTTTGTTCATCTTATGGAACCATGACTCTGCTGAAAAAGAGCAGCAATACGTTGCGCTCTGTACCTGTTGGTGAACACGCCTTTGGTGGAGCTATCCCCCGTGCTCCCCAGCGCTGGGATAAAGAAGTGCCGGCTTATCTGCTTTGTGTAGATAAGGTCTATTCGCCATTGGGACCGCTAACACACCCACCAACACAACGGGGCCCGACGAGAGCACGGCTCCCAGCCCGACACCGCCCTCCCACCACCACACGCCCTTCCCCGGCTCCCAAAGCCCGCAGGAACCTCGGCGACGCCTCACTCCCGCCAGCGCTGCTGGAAGGCACCCGAAAACATCAGTGTCTTGGGTTTGAGCGAGTCCTGGGGATTTCTGGTAACAGGGGAGGGGGATATAGGGCAGGGGGCTATAGGGGAGGCCCCTGGGAGAAGCTTCTCGAAGCTCCCCCGCCTCCAAGGCAGCTCCACCTCGGCACCAAAACTGAGCCAGTCAGCTGCGCCTCTGCGGTAACGTATTGAAGAAGGGATGTGGTGAAGGGGGAGTCGGACTCGCGAGGAGGAGTTGCGGCAGCTGCGTGAACACCAAGGTCAGCGGAGGAACGCAGGAAGAAAGGAGGGGGCAGGTGTGCCGGAGCAGAGACCCCCCTGCATCCCGTGGTCCGACGGCAGGGCGGTCCCCCCTGCCACCCAGGAAGATCTACGGTGGAGCAGGCACTGATGGATGGCCTGTGTTTGTTGCCTGGGTGATCAAGGTGCTGTGCCTGAAGGAGCCTGGGGTCTTGTGGGAAAAGGGAGACCCGCTGTTGTAGTTCAGCGCTGGGAGGACTCCAGCGTGCGGGAGTGTCCCACGCTGGAACAGCTCGGGAAGGGCCGTAGCCCGTGGGAGGGACTCCAGTTGGAGAAAGTTGGTGACCAACGCCGGAGCCATGTAGGGAAATGTTGCGGACTCTGGGAGGGACTCATGTCAAAGCATGTTTGTGGAGGACTGTCTCCTGTGAGAGGGGGACCACGACGGAGCAGGGGGAACGAGTTCCCGAAGTTCCTCCCACCGAAGACGGACAAAGTGGCAGCGCTGACTGCACCCCCCATTCCCTGCCCCTCTGCTGTTGGGGGACGACGGAGACATATCGGGAGCAGAGCTGAGCCCAGGAAGAAGGGAGGCTTGGGGGGAAGGCGTTCTCAAGATGTGGCAGTGCTTCTCACTGCCCTACTCTGTTAACGGTTGTTAGTGTCTCTAATAAATGGATGGGTTTTTTCCCTTCCCCTAACGAGTCTGTCTTTTGCTCGTGACCACAGTGGGTGATCT